TAAATTTATGCTTGGCTAATTAAAGAAATACCAAATTAAATTAAATATTCAATTTTAATGATAGTAACTGTAAATCCAACTTTTTAAAATACGTATCGACACAAAAAATTTGATGGCGTATATGCATATATGTAGTTCTCATATTCCACTTATTTTACATAAATTTCTGTAATTAAGTAATTGAAAATGTACAAAGTTGGGTTGGGAAACATTGTGTATTAATTTAGATTTAAGAGTTTAGGAGGGAAAGCAATTTTTAAAAAAATTATTTTCTTTCTTTTAGTTGAAAATTAATGTATAGTTATATTTTTCAATTCTTATTATTAGTTCACTCTCTTCCAATATATATATATATATATACACATCTTGTTCGCATTTTCAATCATCGATAAAATATTTTCTATTTATCCATTCAAATTCAAATACATTTTTAAAACTTGTAGTGGATGACACTTGATACTTGTTAATACATGTTTTTCAAATATTAATTAAATTAAAAAATGAATAAATAGTAACAGACACAAAAATAATAGTCCAACAGCATATATAGAAAGGAATATCATTTGTTGTGTCTCTGTAGTGTGATGGATAGCACATTGGATTTCTAATCCAAAGGTCGTGAGTTTAATCTCACCTGGGATAGCCTAATTTATGATAATGCAATTTCTTTTTTACTATACTATTTTATTAAAATAATTAAGTTTAATTAATGAATAAATAGTAATAAACAAACAAAAAATAGACCACCATATATAGAAAGGAAAATGGAAAATTGCTTTCTATTTTGTCACTTACTATTGTGATTCTGTCATGTCTATACACATTTATATTAATTGTAACTAATTAATAAAAAGTAACTAAAATAAAACTTTCTTTGGTGACCTAAGTAGAAATTGACTTAATTTTTTTATATATTGTTATTTAATGAGGTGTGTCACTTGTCCGGTATAGTGGTTAGTGATACGGAATGCTGTGCGATTGGGCCTGGGTTTGAATTCTAGAGAGATCATGGATGTTTGTAAATGTATAGTACCTTAGTGGCATGGGAGTATTTTAAATGGCAGTTGAGCCACAAGTCCTCTCATGAGGTTGGAGGAAGAAAAGAGTTTTGAGGTCCCTGACCACCTCCAAGGTGTTCTGCCTCAAACTAGGGGGGGGGGGGGAAGTGAGCCAAATCATACTGTCATCTGTATGGTGCTCAAAGCTATAGCTTGCATTCAGTTCTTTGCTGCAATGAATTTTGGGGGCTTAATCTGACACCTTCAGGTGGCATTAGCAACAACAACACTAATGAGGTGTATGTTTTTATTTAAAGAAGTGACTACAATTTTTAAAAAAAATATTCTGCAATGTTTCCTGTTCAAAATTTTTTGTTAATCTAGAATTAATCATCAATCTAAAATTTAAAATTTTATCTGTGATATTATTGTGTAAAACTGTAATTTGTTTCATATATACATTTCAATTTGAATTTTACTAAGAAATTATTATCATAGTTGATCATTTTGTGAATTGTACTTTTTTAAAATTTACTAGAAAATGATTGAATTTAGTTGGAATATTTAATTAAAATTTGGCTTATCATTATATTATGTGGTATCAAATTATAGCAACAATTCTAATATTGCTTATAAAAATTAATAAACTTGTTGTTTTAAGTAAATATTATATATGTCAAATAATTACATGAAAATATTAAATTATTGATTAAAATTTATTAAAGACATCTTTGAAAAGTTGTGTTAATTTCATTTTCAGTGAGTCAGAGAAAGAAGACGTAAGTGAAGTAACTGAAACTATTTTAGAAGGAAAGAAGAATCCTCTGGTTGTTGATCTTGTTAAAAGACCTGATAGAATAAAAGATACTGTTGATCAATGGTTTGATAATCAGGATTTTGCTGAAGAAAATGAGGACAGTGATCTTGAGATTGATTTACTTGCTGAAGAATTTGAAAATAAGCAAAAAGCAGTTAAAGGTAAAACATTTGGGAATAAGTTTTTTATTTAAATGTTGAATTTATTTTAGTTAATGTGACATTCTTTTCTTAAATTTATGTATTTTTTTTTTTTATTTAAGCCAAAAATGCTGACGAATTGATGGATGAAGAAACACAAGGTAAAATTAATGATATTAAAAACCATAAACTTTATTATATGATTTTGCTTGATTTTTATTATTGATAAAAATGTTAAGTTATATGTTACTCTGATTAATGTGTATTTTTCCTAATATAATAAATAAATTTATTAAAAAAACTGCTAATATATATGTATTTAATAATTTAACTTAAGATTCTAATCTTATATTTTTTTACTTCAATTACAATTACGAATATCCTGTTTTAAAATGTGTCTCATTTTACTTCACATTAAAGGATTAAAACCGTTTTGAGAGATTTATTCATGATCCCTAGAACAAAAGTATCTTAATAGGTTACTGAGTGATTGAAACTTTCCCTAAAACATTTAAATAATTTCTAAAAATAATTAATATTTCTTTTCACTTGAACTGCTATTATATTTTTTCTATTACATCTTTTCCTGTTTTTTCCCCTTGTTTTTGAATGAAGAAATGGATAAATCTTGCTCTTTGTATTTTGGCACTTGAGCAGAGAGGATGTTGAATTTTTCTCTCCTGATATTAAAATAAATAAACAATGATTTGATCTATATCCACAGAATTTTCATTTGCCATGAGACTAAAAACATCCTGATTCACAAAATGCTTACATCTACGTTATATATATTAATCAATATGTTAACCACTAAACCTATATCAGAGCAGTCAAATGACTGCTTTTGACATTTTAATCAAAATTGTTAAATTCCAGGTTTTGGTTTTTCTTCAATCTACTGCATGACTTCTTTGAGTGTACAGCTACTTAATTTTTCAATATATATCTCTTTCTTTTGTTTAATCATCATAATCATGTGTACATTGTCATTATCCAGCATGAGCAATCTTTTAACCATTGAAAAATTTATGAATTTTTATGAAGTAATTTGTATTGAAATCTCAAATTTCAAAGAATATCATCCAATTAGTTTTATGTATAGTTTATTGTATGCCAGGACTTCTTTGTATTACTTTACATTACTTTGTTCATGTTGTATAGAGATATTATTTATACATTTAAAATTTTACTTCATTATAAATGATCATTGCAACACATTTTTAAACTTAACTAAATTGTGATCCTTTTGAGTTAATATAAGCAATTTTCAATTATATATTTTGTCTAAATTTATCAATGCAAGAATAAAATGGCCATCTGCTTTAAATTCATGTTTGAGAAATATTTGACTTATAACAGTTAAAATAAAAAAGGGTTTTTTAAATCATCAGAAGATGAAATTGAATGGCATTAAATTAAGGTTATTAAAATAAGGGGGGGGGGGAGAACAGGTTTAAATTTTTTTCACTAATTGATTTATTTTACATGCATATGTTAATTTTGTAAAATATATACATATAAGATAACATGGATTTTTTCCCCTTTCAAAAAATTGTGTAGTAAATTATTAAAACATGTCCCTCCTTTTTTGTACTTGGTTTGCACAATATGGTATGTTTTGAAGAAATTCACTGAAAGGAATTGTTAATGTTATAATTGTAAATTTTTATTATCAGATATATAATCTTTTATTCTATTAAAATGTTGTGAAATTTAATTTTTTTTATTAACATGTTCACAAAAAGGTTGTTAATGTAAAATATTTTTTTTAAATAATTTTAGCATTGAGCGCAAATTAATTTTAAATAATTTTGTCAACATTGAAAAATATTTCAAAGAAATGTAGTTTTTTTTAAATATGAATTCATTGTATGTTTCTAATGATAATATCTTCTCTAGAAGGAGTCTCAAATGATTTATTGAAAAGTGAAAATGAGGAAGGTAATTTTATCCACAATTTATTTATATTCGCTTGAATTTTGTGTGTGTTGAATTTGCGATAAATTTCTTCATTTGTTATGTATTAATATTAAGTAACATTTAATTTAGTAATTTTTTCTATCTAGAAACGAATAGCTGTATTATAAATTTTTTACTTAATAGTAATAATTAAGATATTCTCTTTTTTTTCCCCCTTAAGTGTTTTATATATTCTAATTCAAAATCCATTTCAGTTCTTATAATAATATCGATGAAGTATTTGTGGTTCTAGATGTATATATATTATGAGCAACATTAACTATAATTTTAATACAGTTTAAATTATTTGCTCTTTTTTAAAATCAAAATATTTTTACATATTTTGATCTATTAATACTATAAATTCATGTTTAAAAAAAAGATTTGATTAATAGCAGACAAAATAGAAAACTGTTTCTTAAATAATCAGAAGATGAGATTTATAGCATTGAATTAAGGCCATTAAAATAGAGAAAAAAACTGTTCAAATTTTTTACATTCAATTATAAACTATACTTGCATATATTAATACTTTTAAGATTCATTTAAAATTTCTTGGAATTTTGCCCTCTATAAAAATTGTGTAGTAAATTATTGAAACTTTTGTCTTCCTCTTTTTTTTTTACATGGCTTATCTAACACAGTATATTTTGAAAAAAATTCACTGAAGTTAATTATTAATGTTATAACTAAATTTTTGTTGTCGATTAGGAAAATAATTTTTTATTGTATTAAAATTATGTGAAATTTTCCCTTTTCTTATTGAAATGTTCATAAAAAGACTTTGTTAATGTAAAATTTTTTTTCCTTATAATTAATAGGAATGAAAGTTAATTTTAATCAATTTTGTCAACACAGAAAAAGATTTCAAAGAAATATATGTTTTTTTTATGTCATTGTATATTTTTAATGAAAATATCTCTCTAGAAGGTGTCTCAAATGATTTATCCGAAAGTGAAAATGAAAAAGGTAATTTAACCCTAATTTATTTATGTTTTCATGAATTTTTTGTGTGGTGAATTTCCAAAAAATTGCTTAAATTGATTTGTTTTGTATCAATATTAAACAACTTTTAGTTTAGTAAATTTTTTACTTAGTAGTAATAATTAAGATGCTCTTGTTTTCAGGAGTATTTTATATTCTGATTTAAAATCCATTTTAGTATCATTATGATGGTATCAAAATCCATTATAATGGCATCAATGAAGTATTTGTGGTTTTAGATGTATATATTGTGAGCAATATTAACTATAATTTTAATACAGCTAAAATTATATGCTCTTTTTAAAATCAAAATAGTTTTACATATTTTGATGTTCCAATGCTATAAATTCTTGTTAAAAAAAGATTTGACTAATCACAGTTAAAATAGAAAAGTGCTGCTTAAATAATCAGAAGATGAAATTCATAACATTAAATTAAGACTATTAAAATGAAGGGGGGGGGGGGCTCAATTTTTCTCTCCATTCAGTCGCATACTATACTTGCATATGTTAATATTTTTGAGATAAATATAAAATTGTATAGAATTTTTTCCTTTTAAAAACTGTGTAGTAAGTTATTGAAACTACGGTGAAATATGTTTAGCGTGAAATATGCTAAGACGAAATGTTAACAATGGGAATGAAAAAAGTATGGGAAACACCAGCTGCGTTGGCAAGATTTAAGAGGGGTGTTAAATGATAGAGAGGTGTTTTCACACTTGTTTCATGGAAGAGAGACTAACTG